CTCTTCAGGCTCAGTCAATTTAACAAATTGGGGTAAAGTAAGGCCAAGAAGGAAGCTGAATGCTAAATGGTACCTCAGTGAACATTTAGGGACAGTCTGCCCTACAGGCACTTTCTGCTGCATTTGCACATGGAAAGACACATGGCAATTCTAGACTTTAATGCCAAGTGCTAGGGAAAGAGGCTAAACCCAATTACCTCAGGTGTTGTAACTGCTTAACTTAATTTCTCTCTGCTTCAGAAAGGCAACTTCAGGTTTGCATTTGGGCTGGATTTGAGGTTGGGAGAAAGTTGCATGAGGAGGCCCTATCCCAGTGCCTGATTGGCTTTTTCATCTTCCTAGATTTCTGCTCTCTCCTTCCTTCTACTCTGTTCCTCAGAAAGTCCTTGATTTTGATATTATAGAACCAAAAGAGCAGGAAGGCAGTGTTCCAAGGACAAAGGAGCTGTTAGGCTTCTGATCACAAAGAACATGTACAACATGGCTTCTCTTCCCCCAGTTGCAATTCAGCTGTTCTATGGAACAGAACATAAGGAAATCACACACCACTATGCTCTGGAATTGCACTCCCCCTATTTCTTCTTAAAGAAGAGCACTAAACAAAGAGCTGATTGATGCCAACTCTCTGGCCAATCTGCCACTGCATCTGAAAAGAGTAAAATGTTAAAGCTTTTCCAAATTTAAAATAAGGAAAACAGAAAGGTAGCTTAAGTTTGGCAAAATTTGAACTTGCTATCTGTCTTTAATTTTGGAAAATAGGTTTTTGCAGAACTGCAAAACTTCACTGTTTTTCTAGATGGTCTCAGGCTTCATTTTCAGTTTTACCTTATTTCAGCCGAATCTCATGATTTCACAGAAATGTTGAAGGGAGTGACTAATAAAGTATGTTCGAAACGTCATACAACACCAAGTACATCTCCCTTTGCCTGAAAGGAGCTGAGAACATAATGTAAACCAATAAACTATAAATGAACATTGTCCTTTAATAAAAAGTTGAAAGTTGTTACTAAAATATGTAGGTACTGTATAGAGAGCTTAAGGAGCTCTGATGGTGCAGGGCATAAGGCATTTGACTGCTAACCAGAAGGTTGGCGGTTCAAACCCACCAACCACTCTGTGGAAGGAAGATGGGGTGATCTACTTCTGTAAAGATTTACCATTTTGGAAACCCAGTGGGGTCGCTATGCGACAGAATCAATTCGAAAGCAATGAGTTTGGTTTGGTTTTTGTATGAGAGCTTATAATCAGAGGTACTTAGTGTGTGCAAACAGAGAGGTCTGAAAGCACAGTATTAGCACCATATTAAAGTCTTGATAAGAGTCTACAATCCATGTTGAATTTCAAAGCTGCCTTTTCTAACAGCAGTTCCTCTAACCTTGATGGTGACCTAACATCAATGCTGACCATACACCCAAAAGAAACCATTCTTCTTCTCTGAGTTCTGGCAGGTGCAGAATATCACAATCTATTCCCAAAGGGTCTTTCCACTATAATCAAGCAGATACAAGACATGATAGCTTATACCAGAAGGGTGTTGATGCACAGCATTGTTGATATCTTTACAATGAACCCCCAGAAACAGATACTATTGCAAAAACCATTTTTATAGCAGTTTACACAAAAAAATCTTCCCTGCCTTTGTCCTGTGACCATCCTGTAATAAACCAAAGAGCATGTACACTTACAATTATGTACCCTTTACCAATCATGTAATCTCACATATACATTATCCACCTATCCCTGCTAAATCCCTGTTTTCAGATATCCTACCTTTGACTCCCATGATTGTCTTTTGGCCAGTTATGATTTTGTAACTTTCAGTTCTTGCTTCAACTGTACACAAATGTTTTCTTCCTTATTGTCTGGAGGAGCAGTCATCTTCACTCTGTGAATTTGGATATTTCCCAGTCTTGACCTTCTTTATCCCTCTGTAAACATCTTTTGCTTTTACTTAAGCAGACTCCTTGATATTACTCTATAACAGCACTGAGTTCTAATGATTTAACAGCAGTCTCCGGGTGGCTGCTAACTGAAAGACTGGAGGTTTCTGTCCACTCAGAGGAGTCTCGGAAGAAAGGCCTAGAGATCTCCTTGGGTCACCATAAGTCAGGACTGACTCAATTGTAATTGGTAACAGTAATGATTTAACAAGGCAAACGAAAAAAACCATAGTTCCCAGTAGGTGTATCACATGATAGAACAATACATAAACACACGCACTTCTTTCTAAAGGTTTTTCCAGATAGAAATCTCATGCATCATGACCAAATGATTCATTCAGTCAGTCAACATTTTTTTTTTCCCCTGTGCTTTATTCCAGGCACTGTGCTAGTTTCTAGGAATGTCACCCAAATTGGTACAAGTCTGCTGGATCTTAAAATGCTACCAGGGATTACATACAGGTAATGCTGCAGAAGACCATCTGCCTTCAATTTCCTACCTTCTATAGGTTTTCAATAAATTGGCTTTTACTTACCACTTTTGAGGATAAAAATAAGGAGGATAAAGTTGTCCAGAAGCGTGCTATAATGAACACTCCAGGCCTCTTTATGATAACCCTCTGCCTCCTAAAAGAAAACAAACTCACTGCCATCGAGTTGATTCTGACTCATTGCAACCCCCTTGGGTTTCCAAGGCTGTAAGTCTCTTTGGAAATAGATTCCTCCATATTCCTTCTGCGGAGCAGCTGCTAAGTTTGAACCGCCAACCTTCTAGTCAAATGCCTTTAGGCACTGCACCACCAGAGCTCCTTTCTTTGCGGTAAAACAGGCTAAATGTAGTGTTCAGAAGTAGAAGGAAAAAAGCTGGTATGTGGAAGTGCAGAGGTCTGTTTGCTTGCCTGTCTCATCCACAAAGGGCCTGCCCTCTGGTCTCAGAGACCAGAATGCAAGGAGAAAAGGAGCTGTGCTTGGAGTCATGATTTCTCAAGGTACTGTAGTCCAGATGCTACCCAATACCAGCTAATACTGCCAATATAGAATCATGGAGGGCTCTGGCCCTAATACTTCCAACTCCAGATGTGTTATAAGAAGAAACTGCATAGGGAAATACCCACTAAAAAACCCACTGCCATGGAGTAGATTCCAACTCATAGTGACCCTAAGGACAGAGTAGAACTGCCCCACATTTCCAAGGCTATAAATAAATCTTTACAGATGTTCGAACTGCCAACCTTTTAGTTAGCAGCCCAATGCTTTAACTACAGCACACCAGAGCTCCTACATAGGGAGATGAATGCCTTTATAGAATTGGATCTCCCAAGGGGACACTCCAATCTAGGGCTCATGAGAATTACTCTCTGGTGTTTTCCTGGGGTGATACTCCAATTTACCTACTCAGATTGCTTTTCCTAGAGAAGGAAATTTTGAATTTCCTTTGCTGATGCCTCACACTCAAGATTCTGCCCTTAATATTAAGGGCTTGATAAAGATGCTTTAGTGGCAACAGTTATGTGCTTAGCTGCTAACCAAAAGGTTGGGGTTCTAACCCACCCAGTAGCTCTGCAGGAAAAATAACTGGAGATCTACTCGCATAAATATTGCAGCCTAGAAAACCCTATGGAGCAGTTTACTTTGTCATATGGGGTTGCTATGAGTCACAATCAACTCACTGGCACATAGCAAGAGACTGGAAAGCCTCGGACCTGTGATGACCTCTAATAGACCCAGATCTGCATTCTTCCCCAAGGCCTCCCCAGTGGGGAAAGGAATCACAAGGTGGCAACAGTATTAATAAAACTTGCCTGGACTGGAATCAGGAGCCAGAATCTAGCCTCCATGTTGTTGTTGTTATGTGCCATCGAGTCATCTTCGACTCATAGCGACCCCTCCTTGGGTTTCTAAGGCGGTATCTCTACGGAAGTAGAGTGGCTTCCGAGGAGTGGCTGATGGGTTTGAACCCACCAACCTTCTGGTTAGCAGTCAAGTGCTTTAGGCACTATGCCACCAGAGCTCCCAGCCTCCATAACACCCCCTGACAAATCCAATACTCTGAACAAGTCACTTCCTGTCTCTAAACCTCAGATTCTTTCTCAGCAAGGCAACGTGGGGGACTCTGTGTTCTTTAAATACCTTTCCAGGAATGAATTATGATTCATGTTCCAGGGAACAAGCTAAGTGCAACTATACATTTATTCATGTTCTCGTCTTCCTGTTAAGTGAATAGCTTGAAGTAGCTTATAAAATTCAATGAGGTTAAATTATTATTATTTTTTTAATTACAGAAGTAGAGCTCAAAAAGGAACAGCAAATTAACAATGTTAATACTACATATTCCTGGAAAGATTAAAAGAAGCCTTTTTTTTTTTTTTTGGTGATACCAACCAACCAACCAACCAACTGCTGCCGTGGAGTTGCATCCAACTCATAGTGACCCCTCCTTGGGTTTCTGAGGTGGTATCACGATGGAAGTAGATTACCCAACCTTCCTTCCGAGGAGTGGCTGATGGGTTTGAAACGCCAGCCTTCTGGTTAGCAGTCAAATGCCTTAGGCACTACACCACCAGAACTCCTTTTTCAGCGATACACATTTATTTATTAAATTTTTATTGGGATTTGGGTGAAAGTTTACAGAGCAAATTCATAAAAGAAGCCTGTTCCAAGAGATTTCTTTTGAGTGTTAGGCTTATGGAAAATATTATTTTCTACATAGTTTTTCAGGAATCCTTGGGTGGTGCAGACCTTTAAGCGCTAAGTTACTAACCAAAAAATTGTTGGGGCAGGTTCAAGTCCACCCAGATGTACCTGGGAAGAAGAGCCTGGTGAACCGACTTCTAAAAATCAGCTTTGAAAACCCTGTGGAGCACAGTTCTACTCTGACACACATGGGATCACCGAAAGTCAGAGCTGACTGGATAGCAACTAGTTTTGGAATGAATACATATTGGAACAGCTGGTGGGCTTGAACTGTCAACCTTCTGGTTAGCAGTCAAATGCCTTACGCACTGCACCACCAGAGCATGCGCACACCCTCTCTCTAAAATATTTCTGGACATTATGGTTTTAGGGCACACTTAGAATGGAAATCCAGTTCCACATACCTGGAATCATATTGAGTGTCACCCAGAAATGTTCATCCGGAGAGTAGGTGTCCTTTGACCACTCAAGTAAATCAATAGCCCTCTGGTCTTGGAGAACAAAATTAGCAAACTCTCTTGTAAGGGCAACGTAGGCAGAGCCAAAGTAAATGGTCAGGTTATGGGGAGGAGGCCTTTTTCGTATCCAAGTCCACAGCATAAAGGAAAAAAGAGAGAATCTCTGTTCTAAGTGCACATATTTAGTCCTTCTGATAATATGAGGAGGAGGCAACCCCCCTGGGGTAATATTTTTCCCTTTAAAGCCTTTCAGGTAGTGAACTATCTCCTTGTTGGTTTTCAGGGGGAAATCTTGCCCACAGGTATTGATCACATACTTCCAGGGAATCTCCAAGGCCACCAGGTCTCTCAAGCAGTTCAGGTCAGCCTGGAGCCTAGAAATTCCTGCATAGACCACAGACTCTCTCTTAGAGGCCAGAAAGGCATTTGAGAAGCAGCTCAGTAGTTTTCCCACTGTCTCTTTGAAAGCAGCTGTGGCCTTCTCATCCACATGAACACAGTAGACATTTTGGGGCATGTAAATAGCCCTGAAGAGCCTTTCAAATGTATCAAAGTCTTTGTGGATGACCATGATATATACCAGAGGGAACTCAGCTTCTTCTTTGGATAGAGGCTCCATTATATAGTGATTCTGTATCAAGTATTGTTGACAAGTTATATCTCTCAATGATGTCATTGGTATATTTTCATCCAAGACCATTTTCTTTCCTGTCACAATCATATCACAGACTTCTACAAGAACTGAAGTATTTGAGATTTTCCCCACATGCAGGTATGTGTGTGGAATTATGTTGTTGGTATACAAGAAAAAAAGAGTTAAAGACATGGCCACTAGCCCTATGATGAACCCAAACATCTTCAGCTTCATTTTTTCTATAATCATTCTTTTCATGTCATTTGCCTGAGTTCATACTATTGCTGAAGTGAACCTGCAGGCTATCTACAGGTAGTTGGGGAATCTGTTCTAACTTCTTGTCTTCAGTAAGAGTAGAAATGTTGCCACTCATGGAAGGGAAGGAGAATCAACCTAAGTTTAATGGATCTGAGGACATGAGCCACTGAGGCAAACTGAACAACCAGGCAAGAGCTAAGCACAGGTAGGCAGATTTGTCTGGAAGTCAAAACCCTTCAAAATCAGCCCCAGCTGTCAACTCAGAGTGGTCTTTCCCAGGCTGGGTTAAGAGTAGAATTTGTGTCAGTCTTACAGCTCCCTTCATCCAGACAGGACCAGCATCACAATCATTGATATCACCTTTGAATACAGGGTACAGTATATGTCTATATGTCTTCAACTTTGATCAGTCACAGACGTCCCAAGGCAGGTTGCAATTTCCATTGACAATAGCCGGAGTTGTTTAATAGTGGAGTTTCTTTTTACCTAAAAATGAAAATAAAAAAATCATAGAACTTCACAGCTGGAACAAACCACAACCAACTCATTCAACTGACAACTGGAGAATACTGAGGATGAATTTGAACTAATATTCAACCATGTGTTTGCCTATATTATCTCACTGGCAAATATGTGAGCTCACCATTGCCATTCTACACATTTTGTTGCTATTGTTAGCAGCCAGGGGATGTTGGAGGAGCTCGGGTAGCATAGTGCCTAAGGCACCTGACTGCTAACCAGAAGGCTGGTGGTTCAAACCCACCAGCCACTCCTCGGAAGGAAGATGGGGCAATCTACTACCATAGTGATACTGCCTTGGAAACCCAAGGAGGGGTTGCTATGAGTCGGGTCCGACTCGATGGCACATAACAACAACAACAACAGATGATGCCGGGAGCAAGAAAAATATCTGTCTCTCATCCTTTATTTTGTGTTGAATTGTGTCCCCAAAAAGGGTAGGTTCAAGTCCTAAACACTGGTACCTGTTAATGTGAACTCATTTGGAAATAGTGTCTTTGCTGATGCAATTAAGTTAACATGAGGTCATACTGGAGTAAGGTGGATCCTAACACAATATATTATTGTTGTTGTTGTTACTAGCTGCTGTCAACCCAGCTCCAGCTCAGGGTGACCCCATGCACAACAGGATGAAATGCTGCTCAGTGCTAGGCCATCTCTATGATCTGTGGCAGATAAACCATTGTGATTCACAGGGTTTTCATTGGCTGATTTTCAGAAGTAGATCATCAGTCCATTTTAGTGTGGAAACTCTGCTGAAACCTGTTCAGCATCATAGTAGCACACATGTCTCCAATGACAAACTGGTGTTGGCTGCACAAGGTGCATTGTCTGGCTATTGAACCCTGGACTCCTATATGGAAGGATCTCTGGTGGTGTATGCCTAAGGCATTTGACTGCTAACCAGAAGGCTGGAAGTTCAAACCCACCAGCCACTCTTCAGAAGGAAGGTTGGGCAATCTATTTCTGTGGTGATACCGCCTCAGAAACCCAAGAAGGGGTCACTATGAGTAGGATCCGACTCAATGGCAGTGAGTTTTCTCCTATATAGAAGATGAGAATTCTACTTCTGAACCACCACTCTTCTCTCATATCCATTTTACACATGAGGGAAACTAAAGCCCAGAGGTACTTTGACTTACCTGATAGCCAATAATGAATAAACGATAGTACTGAGCCTCAAATCTATCTCTTTTGACTCCACTGGCCTTCTACTGGGAGCTCTAGTGGCGTAGTGCCTAAGGCATGCGACTGCTAACCAGAAGGCTGGTGGTTCAAACCCACCAACCACTCCTTGGAAGGAAGGTTGGGCAATCTACTTCCATAGTTATACTAACTCAGAAACCCGAAGAGGGGTTGCTAAGAGTCAGATCCCACTCCATGGCAGAGTTTGGTTTTGGTTTGGCCTTTTACTTGGAATACCAAAAGCCAAACCAAACTCACTGCCATCAAGCCAGATCCAACTCATAGCGACCCCTCCTTGGGTTTCTGAGGTGGTATCTCTATGGAAGTAGATCGCCCAACCTTCCTTCTGAGGAGTGGCTGGTGGGTTTGAATCCCCAGCCTTCTGGTTACCAGTCAAATGCCTTAGGCACTACGCCACCAGAGCTCCCTACTTGGAATAGTCTTTCTCTTTTTTAATTGTAGTGAAAACATACACAGCAGTGGGATAAGCTCTTGATAAGTTCCTACCTATCATCCTTCAGGCACTGGTGTAACAATGCCTTCCCCAATAAACCTTCCCTGCCCTCCCAAGTCTAGGAACCTTTCTGCCTGCTCCGGTAGCACCTTGTACTCCCTTCAATTGTTTTTTGCTCCACCAGTAGTGCAATGGGGACTATTTTTGTGTATCTTCAGCTCTAGCTCATGGTAGGCACTCAGCATTAAGTTAAATCCAGCACATCAAGGATTGGAAAACCACAGCCTGTGGGTTCAGTCTGGCCTCCCATATGTATTTATATAGCCTGCAAGCTAAAAATGGTTTTACATGTTTTAATGGATGAGGGGGAAAAAAATCCAAAGAAGAATAATATTTTGTGACACATAAAAATTATATGACATTCAAAATCAGTGTCTATAAATAAAATTTTATTGGGACACAGTTATGCTCATTTATTTGTATATCATCTATGGCTGCTTTGGGAGCTCTGGTGGCATAGTGCTTAATGCATTTGACTGCTAACCAGAAGGCTGGCGGTTCAAATCCACTAGCCATTCTTCAGAAGGAAGGTGGGCAATCTACTTCTGTAGAGCTACCACCTCAGAAACCCAAGGATGGGTCTCTATGAGACGGCAATGAGTTTGGTTTTTTATGGCTGCTTGGTGGTACAACTGCAGAGTTGAGTAGGTGTGACAGAGACTTTCTGGTCAGCATAACCTAAATATTTGCTGTCTGTCCCTTTTCAGACAAAGTTTACTGATTCCTGCTGTATATTTATGGATGCCTGTATATACTATCTATTTTCACTACATCAAGATGACAATTATGGACTGGGTACCATTTTACTACTTTTTGCTTTATTTTCTGGATTTCCTTGTGGATGCTAGAAGGGCATCAAAGTTGGCAATAGACTGTGGGCTCTAAAACGTAACTGTGTGAGTTTGTATCCTGGCTTTGCTGGTTGTTGGCTGTGTGATATTGGGAAAGTCACGTTACTTTTCTATTTCACTTTCTTCATTTGTAAAATTAGGGAAATAACAGTAGGGATTGTCAGGCAAATTAATAAGTTGAGTGCATTTTGAACAGTCTCTGGCACATAGTAAAGACTCAATAAATGTTACCCTATTGTTATTATCTGCACATGGTCACTTTAAAGTCTATTTACACTGCTGTTGTTGTTGTTATGTGCCACGGAGTCAGACCCGACTCATAGTGACCCCTCCTTGGGTTTCCAAGGCAGTATCACTACGGAAGTAGATTGCCCCATCTTCCTTCCAAGGAGGAACTGCATAGCACTGCACTTGGCCTGACTCAATTGTGACTCAAACTTTGGCAAGATTTAGAGCTGCCACATAGTGGCTGGTTATGGAGTAGCTTGACATGTCATTCCATTTAACCAGTTGCCATGGAGTCAATTCTGACTCCTGGCAACCCCATGTATGTCAAAGCAGAACTACGCTCCATAGTGTTTCCAATGTTTCATAGTGTTTTTTTAAAACAGACTGCCAGGCTTTTCTTCTGAGGTGCCTCTGGGTGGACTTGAACCACCAACCTTTGATTGGCAGGTGAACACATTAACTGTTTGCATCACTTATACTCCTTCCTCTCATTTAGATGATTAAAAATCTGTGGAAGTATATGAACAGACACTTCACCAAAGAAGACATTTAGGCAGCTAACAAACACATGAAGAAAAGCTCATGATCATTAGCCATTAATAAAAAAACCCAAATCCACTGTCATCAAATTGATTCTGATTTATAGGGACTCCCATTGAGTTTCCAAAGTGGTAAATCTTGATGGAAGTAGATTGCCCATCTTCCTCTGCAGAGTGCCTAGTGGGTTTGAACTGCCAACCTTCTGGTTAGCAGTCAAATGCCTTACGCACTATGCTATTAGAGCTCCTAGAGCTCCATTAGAGAGGTGAAAATTAAAACAACAATGTGATATCATCTCACCACAGCACTAATAGCAAAATTGTAAAAAACAGAAAACAACAAATGCTGGCAAGGTTGTAGAGAGATTGGAACCCTCATACATGGCTGATGGGATTATAAAATGGTGCAAAATGGTATGGCACTTCCTTAAAAAGCTGGAAATAGAAATACACGTGATTCAGCAATGCCACTGCAAGGTATATACCCCAGAGAAATAAGAACTATGACACAAACAGATACATGCACACACCATGTCCATCACTCCTCCATTCCCAATGGAAACAAGCTAAATACCCATCCATGGAGGAATGGTTAAACAAACTGTGTACATACACACAACGGAATACTACACAACATTAAAGAACAATGATGAATCTGCAAAACATCTCATAATATGGATGAACCCAGAGGACATTATGCTGAGTGAAATTAGTTAATCAGGAAAGGACAAATATTGTATGAGACAACTACTGTGAAAGATCAAGAAAAGAGTCTCACACAAAAGAAATATTCTTTGATAGTTACCAGGGGTGGGAGAAGAAGGAGGATAAACTACTAACTACAGAATAAACACATATTAACTTGGGTGAAGGGGAAGGTAATAAAAAAAGGAGGAAAAATCAGTGAATGGGTGGAAAGGGGAACAATCTTGTGGATAGGTGAGAGGGCACATTTTCATGCCATTTCAGCATTTTATTCTCCCCTAGACTGTGAGCAACTTCAAGGGAGGAACATGTCTTCTAAGACATAGAGGAGTGCTCAACATGGCATTTGAGAGCACTGAAAAACCTGTCTCCCACAATGTCTCAATCCCAACAGCCAGACAAGTTTTCCTTAAGGACAAAGTATCTCATAAGGAG